TGGGGCTATCTTGGAAGCCATCCAGCAAAAAGAGGGCGGCGTGAATTAGCGGCACCCCTCTGGAGCCAGAAAGAATGCGTCTTGGGCCTTGTACCTCTCGGAGCTCTCTTGGGCGATCATGGGGCCACCTTGAGACATTGGAGGCCCATTGGTAGCGAAAAGGCTGGCATTGAAAGCCGTCAGGTTTTGATGGTTTTTAATCTCTCGGGGTCTCGTTGGGACGCTCCGTTGCCGTTTGGAGCCGCTCTGGGGTAGTACTGGTGCCTCGTTGGAGGCATGTTAAACGGCATCTTGAGCCATCGTGGGCTATCTTGAGCCCTCTTGAGCCAGCTGAGGCCCCCTTGGAGCCATCGTGGGACATCTTGGACGCTCTAGCGCCTTCGCGCCCCCGCCCGACCCGCCCAGTTCCAGGGGGAGGGGGGGGGATACAGGGGGAGGGAGGAGGAGGAGGAGGAGGAGGAGGAAGAGGAGGAGGAGGAGGAGGAGGAGGAGGAGGAGAGGAGGAGGAGGAGGAGGAGGAGGGAGGAGGAAGGAGGAGGAGGAGGAGGAGAGGAGGAGGAGGAGGAGGAGGGAGGCGGAGGAGGCGGAGGAGAGGCGGAGGAGGAGGCGGAGGAGGAGGAGGAGGAGGAGGAGGAGGAGGAGGCGGAGGCGGAGGCGGGCGGAGGCGAGAGGCGGAGGCGGAGGCGGAGGCGGAGCGGAGGCGGAGGCGGAGGCGGAGGCGGAGGCGGAGGCGGAGGCGGAGGCGGAGGCGGAGGCGGAGGCGGAGGCGGGGGCGGAGGAGGAGGAGGAGGAGGAGAGGAGGAGGAGGAGGACGAGGAGGAGGAGGAGGAGGAGGGGAGAAGGCGGAGGAGGCGGAGGAGGCGGAGGCGGCGGAGGAGGCGGAGGAGGGAGGAGGAGGATGAGGAGGAAGGAGGAGGGAGGAGGAGGAGGAGGAGGAGGAGGAGGAGGAGGAGAGAGCGGAGGCGGAGGCGGAGGCGGAGGCGGAGGCGGCGGAGGAGGAGGAGGAGGAGGAGGAGGAGGAGGGAGGAGGAGGAGGAGGAGGAGGCAGAGGCGGAGGCGGAGGCGGAGGGCGGAGGCGGAGGCGAGGAGGAGGAGGAGGAGGAGGAGGAGGGAGGAGAGGAGGAGGAGGAGGAGGAGGAGGAGGAGGAGGGAGGAGGGGAGGAGGCGGAGGCGGAGGAGGAGGAGGAGGAGGAGGAGGAGGAGGAGGAGGAGGAGGAGGAGGAGGAGGAGGAGGAGGAGGAGGACGGAGGAGGAGGAGGAGGAGGAGGAGGAGGAGGAGCTCACAACGGAACGCCACAAGCTGTGTACCTCAGGTGATCGCAAACATGGATCAAGGGGGCGTGGCTTCGCGACGTGTCCCGTTTCCACGGGCAGTCGCGGATTTCCGCCACCGAGCGAGGCGGCACGCCGCACTTTGGGGGGGGGGCACCTCCCCCGATCCATGGATTTGGCGACCGCGTGCCAAATCCATGGATCGTTAATTCATGTTTGCGCGCCCCCGATCTACGGTAGGTTCGTGTCGTGTTGACTGACGGCGACCCCGCCAGCGGCGTTCGGCGCCGAACGCCGCGGGCGACCCAGAATCGTTCGATGTGGAACGATTTGGAAGTTTCGTAAACGGCCGATCGTTCAAGCTTAAACGATCCCCGCGGTGTCAGAAACCAACGCCGAAGCCGGCACGGCACGAACCTGACGTAGCTCACTCCCACCCGCCTGGAGGAGGGCAAGGATCCAGGTGTGAACAGCGAGGGGATACTTGGGCCTGGGGGGCAGCCCACTTTTTCGTCCCCCCCCTCTGTAACTCCCTTTTCGCCCCTGGAGTCCAGGACCCGTTCTGGGGTGTTTGGGCGGCTGTTCCGGCCTCCAAGAGGCTGCCAAAGTTGTTCGGGAGGACGCCCAAACGCCGCCCAAAGGGTCCAAGGTGCCCGAAGATAACCCAGCATATCCCATGGGGGGTGCCATAAAACGAAGAGACCCCCCCTGGTCCCTCCTCACCCCAGCCATCATGCTTCCTTCCTCTTCGTGCGCCCTTGAACCTTCTCCCTCGCCCTTCCTATTCTTGATGTTCTCCGTGTTTCTTCATTCCTCCGTGAATCGTCGTTTCTATTGTGTCTTCCCTCGTGGACTTTCGTTCCTCCTGTATCCTCCTCCGTTTCTGACTTCTTTTGTCCTCCGTTAATCGTCGTTTCTCGTTTATTTTCCCCCACCTCCATGGTTTCAGCACGGACCCAGTGCTGGTGCCTTGCTCAGCGCGCGAAGCGCGCGTGCGTGCGCTGTACATCTTATTTGTTGCTTGCAGTGAAGCCCCCGTGGGAAAGAATGAGGTTTGAATAAGAAGCTCGCTTAACCACCTCAGAGGGCTGGTGATATATGTGTTGGCCTCTTATGGCCTTGCTCGAGGCCTTCTGGGCTGCCTCTTGGGGGCTTCTTGGGGCCTCGTGGGGCTTTTTGGGGACATCTAGGAGTCTTTTGAGGGTCTCTGGGTCGTCTCGGGCTCAGCTTGAGATCGACTACTGTTCTATGTCTTCACGAGCTGAGTGATGTATGGATGCCCTGCGTCGGGCATCCTTTTGGCTGTGGCCTCGCACCTCGTCTCAGCGCACTTCTACCAGCTCATCGATTTTGATTCGGAATTCGAGAGCCTGGTGAAGCCACTCACTACAGCCAGTAAGTGTCGCTTGCCACGGCTTACATCACGAGTCATGATGTAGGCTCCAATCCTGGCAATGAATGCTCAATCTGACCCTACAGGCTTGTGCGACCAAGAAGTCGGCTTGAGTATTGGCCACGGCTTGCACAACGAGCCGCCTCCCCCTCGCCCCCTCCTCCTAATCCTACTGCTGCTCCTCCTACTGCTCCTCCTCCTCCTCCTCCTCCTCTTCCTCCTCTCCTTCACTCGTCGTCGTCGTCGTCGTCATCGTCGTCGTCGTCGTCCTCTCCTCCTCCCATTCCTCCTACCCCTCCTCCTCCTCCTCCTCCTCCTCCTCCTCCTCCTCCTCCTCCTCCTTCCTCTCCTCCTCCTCCCCCCCCTCCTGCTTCTCCTCCGGTCCTCCTGGCCCTCTAGTCCGAACCCGTCGGCCTTCTGCGTCGGTCCTTTCCCGCTGCTTTGGGAGCCTGAGCCCCTCATCTTTTGCCTTCGCGCCCTCCCTCCTCCAGCAAGCTTCTCGCCCTCCCTCCTGCAGCATGCTCGTCTTCACCGGCGAGCACGGGTACGCCCAGCTCCTTGTCTGCACAAGCCGAGGTTTCGTGCGCTGACTCGCGTATTCCGTGGCATGTCGGCCCTCACGTGACTCCGGATTTCCTCGTGCATTTTGCTGGCCCTCTCGCTCAGCACGCAGTAGGATCTTCTTGGACGTCGTCGTAGTATAACAGAGCATATACGTTTTTGGGTTTCTCTTCCTCGTGGTCGCTTTGCTGCCGCTGCTATCTGCTGCTCGTCCTCATCCTCCTCCTCCATCTGTCTCATTTCTTTGCTCGCCCTCTCTCACGGTGTCTTCTTCTCCAACTTCCGACCTACCCATGGCCCACTTTTCTCCATCGTTGCTCCATTTCATCCTATTTTGGTCTCAAGGTATTTGGTCATAGACGATATCTGGGAGCCCAGCCTCGTCGGCGAATATAACAAGCTCCAAAAGGCTCCCCCGCGGATGGAAGAAGGAACTGCACCAGGAGGCAGTAACACGAGGAGGAGGAAGAGGAGCAGGAGGACGAGGAGAAGAGGAAGAGTATGCGGACGAGGATGAGGAACACGAGGATTGGATGCTGGTAATGTTGGGGCTGCTGGGGGTCTCCGCGGTTTTCGAGGAGTAGCACGAGGATGATTCAGTGGCGAAGGGGGATAAGGATGCTGCTTCTGGCGATGCTGCTGCTGACAATGCTGCTGCTGCTGCTGCTGATGATGATGATGATGATGATGATGATGATGATGATGATGTTGGTAGTGGTGCTGATGATATGGTGGTGGTGGTGGTGATGGTGATGGCGATATTAAGGACGACGATGATGATGCTGTTGCTGATGATGATGATGATGCTGATGATGATGACGATGCTGCTGCTGCTGATGATGATGATGATGATTGTGTTAACGACGACGACGATGGTGCTGATGATGCTGATTATGGTGCTGATGATGATGCTGCCGCTGATGAGGATGACGATACTGCTGCTGCTGATGATGATGAGGATGATGATGATGTTGTTATTCCCCATATCCTAAGATGGGGTTCTTGCTATTACTTGGACCCCTCCTAATCCTTCCTGGTCTTCTCCTCCTTCTCCTCCTCCTCATCCTCCTCCTCCGCACACGTAGACTTACTCATACAGACTTACTCATACACAGACTTACTCATACTCAGACCTGATCATATTAACTTACTCATATTCAGACCTGCTCATACTCAGACCTACTCATACTCAGACTTACTCATGCTGAGGCTCACTCGTACCCAGACTTACTCACACTCAGACCTTCTCATTGTCTGACTGACTCAAAACACAGCAGATTGTGAGGATGTCTCAGGCGGGGCGCTGGTTTCAGTACCCCTAAGGGGAGCCGCCGAGGGGTATTGCACGGTCCCGTTCGCGGCCGTTTTGTGGGGATGTCTCAAGCGGTTTGCTTGTTTTCTGTCCCAGCATGTTTTGTTTGGAGAGCAGATGGTGAGGATGTCTCAGGCGGGGCGCTGGTTTCAGCACCCCTTGGGGGAGCCGCCGAGGGGTATTGCACGGTCCCGTTCGCGGCCGTTTTGTAGGGATGTCTCAAGCGGTTTGCCTGTTTTCTGTCACAACACCCTTCGCTTGGAGAGCAGATTGTGAGGATGTCTCAGGCGGAGCGCTGGTTTCAGCTACCTAAGGGGAGCCGCCGAGGGGTATTGCACGGTCCCGTTCGCGGCCGTTTTGCGGGGATGTCTCAAGCGGTTTGTTTGTTTTCTGTCTCAACATCCTTCGCTTGGGGAGCAGATTGTGAGGATGTCTCAGGCGGGGCGCTGGTTTCAGCTACCT